GTAAATGAAATATGCATTTTTAGAATTAATGAATAAGGCACCAAATAAGTTGAGTTAAATCAAATAAAAGGAATAGGAAATAATTGCATGTCAAAGGAAAATTGCGTGTTATGACAAGTTGTGTTAGTAAACATGTATTCAAATGAATTAAATTGGGATCAAGAGAAAACTGAATTCAAAACTGAAATTTGAAGGGACAAAACGCAGAGTGGTGACCACCCATCTCTGTTTCCCTTTTGGCGTTGAGACAGTAATAGCAAGGATTTTTTTCCTACATGATGTTACCAAATGATTTGCGTTTTGCAAACAACGTTCACATTTATCATCCCTCTTAAGAATTCTACTTCTTTCACGAAGTCTGGTCACTCGGGTACAATCCCATGCATTATGCGGCCCAGAACAGAAGGGGCACGCATTGGATGAAGAGGTACCTTGCTCTTCAGCTGGAGAGGCCGCGATCTGCTGTTGACGGATGGCGTCCAGTTGGCGAGCGAGTTCTTGATGACCATTGTTTCAATTCGTCCATGCTCTGCACCAACGTCACTTGAAATTCCATAACGTGGTCGAACCGATCCATCATGCGTTCATTCATCTCTTTGACGAGCTCTTCCAAGTTATAGCTGGAGTTCTGGACATGGTCAAGATCTTCTGTTATATCTTCCACCAAGTTTTTTACGGCCGCTACATTTTGAGCTGTCGTATGAACTGCACCATGGGTACTCTCCACTTTTGATTTAATAGATGGGATGTCGACTGTTCTGACTTGGATTTGGGTGAGCTTCTTTCTGATGATGGAATGTTGATCTTCTTGCTGGTCGTCTGGAGTTGCTTCTGCACCAGCTACTTGCGGGGTCTTCCCGTTAACATCACCGTTATCCTCACGCGGTTCATCAATCATGTCTGTAATTGAATTGTAAAGTAGTTGTATTAAGTATCTAACTACGAGTATATATGACGGAAAGAATGAGATGATGAGATAAGAATTATGCCAATCTCTATATAGAACGATGTGGAGAAGTTTTTAGTACTAATGAAATAATGTGGACCGTTATGCGAAGCAAGAATTTGAATGGAACGATGCAAAGGCGGAGAAGGGTTGTGACTAGGAGCAACGGCAAGAAAGCGAATGAGGAGGCAAATGTCATGGTTGGGAAAGCTCGTCGTGGCTTCTTGGTGAAAGGGCAAAGATGCGTTGCGCTGATTAGAATTGTGCTGACAAGGAGGAGGAGTACGATTACTGTATAGAATTGCTTACAGATGTCGAAGAAATGGGATATATCGGGTAATTGGAAATCAATATCGATTGAGTTTTCATTGCCGGTTGTATTAAGAAAAAGCTTAGTGAACTTTGAGAATGGTCTTATGCCATTAATGTAATTTAGAGTTCCTTCTATTTCGAATACTATGATGTCTTTGCTGCACTGAACGCGGCATTGCTCTTTTACGCGTGCGCTGGTGAAAAACAGCTGTATCTTGTTCTCATAGCTTTCCTTTGTGCAGGTTAGCACGAACTGTTGAGTGGCACAGGTCACTTGTGCTGTGGCCTGTGCAGTGTCTGCGGAACATGAAATAGTTACAGTTGCGCCTTTGACGCAGTTATAACAACCCGTCAAAGACTTTGGAATAACGTTGCAATTGAATTCTGTGATGTATTGCTGAATTTGTGCTGGGGTAGTAGTCAGGCGTATAGCCATTTCCACAGCAATAGCAGAAGTGTGAATTTTCGGAAGTTTCTTAGCTCCCGGGGTAACAACACCATTTGCAATTGGTAGTGGAGGAGGTTCTGTAAGTTTTGGATTTGAGAAATGTTATTATGGGTACAATAACAGTTCACTGAATTTTCTGCGGGATTACATTTGCAGGTGTCAGTTATTATGCAGGAGTGGGATGAATTTTCATGTTGGGGATTGGAGGTGCAGGCATAACTAAATTGGACTTCATCGTTTAAGTAGGCTGTCGCCTTGCGATTGGTAATGAATCGTTTATTAAGTATTGCAGTTGGTGTGAAAGAAGAATTGTGTGATTTCTGCCTCAATAAAGCCAAATTGTCGTTTCGTATATGGTTTGATTTCTCCTGCATAGGTTCTGTCAGTATGAGCCTCTTCTATTTTGAATTTGATGGTTTCTTGCCAAGATGGACACTGAAAGATCTCGTATATGTCTTCGTCTTTCGGGACGTGATATATACGATAAAAAAGGCATCCAGAGGAAGGATACCCACATGAACACCCTAGAAAACCGCATGATTCCGAGCAGTACGTAATTCCTGTGAAGTTATTTGCCATTTCGAGCTCCTTAATGAGTGAGTCAGGCGTTTTTCGCGCATTTAAGGCCTTTACATGTCCCTTGGCCTGGACACCTTTTACTGTATTGTACTTTAGTTTCAGTATTGCGAGTGAAGTATAGTGTCTCTTTTTGACATGTTAGTACGAGTTCTTGAACTGTTATTTTCGTTATATGTATTTGTTTGTTCCCGTCGTGAAGACGTAGACACTGTTCAGTAAACTTGGCAACCACTGTCGTTATGTTATTGCACGTTTGTTGTTCGAGCTGCATTGAGAGAATGAGGATGTCATCAATATGGTTTGCTGGCATCCAAAGGTTGGTGATGTGATTAGTGTAATGATGGTTAATATTCGTGTTATTGTGCCAATCCTTCCAATTATCTGTTCTTGTGTTTTTTAATTTCTGTCAATTGTATGTATTCGTGGGAATATCGTCGCGAGTTGCGTGTTTTGGAGATCCGATTCACTAATGTTTTAATGCAGTTAAGTTTCCCGTGAAGGCAGGTAAATCCTCTGTAGAGTTTCTTCAATGTGCTATAGGTGAGAAATAGTTAATAAGCTATGTAAAAAAGCAGTGCAGCTAGTCCGATAGCTACTTTGGGCCAACATTCAGGATTTGTGAGCATTAATGTGCAAAATGTACAAGATATTTGCTCACAGAATGGACTTGGTGGGCAGGCCCAATGGAATGCGTGTGTAATATTACCTTGCAGTGATTTTACCATCACCTGGTAGGTGGAGAGTTATTTCTGCTGGAAATTGTACTCTGAAGTTTTCGGTCTGGTTGGGATATGTCTAGACAGTAATTATCAGCGCAAACATGCATTCTATCCTGTGTTTCTGGTGTATGGATAGATATGCCACCTGTTACGCAATGTATAATGTCCCCTGTAGTGTTCCTTGTTGCGCGCATGCATGTGCAAAGGTTCGCTAGTATCGCCAACAGGAGCCAGCGACACCAGGGCGCGCTGGATCGGTCCCTCTCCGTGCGCTCGTAGTGTATCGGCCTCGCGTTGACGGCGTAGGCCTTATTTTCTTTCGCGCGGCGCGGCAGATAGGTTCTGAGTCGTTGTGCATTGTTTGTAGAGGCCAGAGATGTCTCTACGCCTCGTTCATTCACTATTTCGTCGCTTGGACGTTCTTTGTTGCTGTCATTGGAACTGCTGTCTATTTGCAGTTCTTCGTTCGTATTGTTTTGTTTGGAATTGATACTTTCTGTTTCGTTGTCTATTTCTAATGGAATTAGCATATTAACAGATCGTGTTATATTCGATTTTGATGTTTTTAACTCTGCCGATCTTATGTTCCCGTCGGGGTCTTGAATGAGTTTAGTGACCGATCCCAGTCTCCATTCTCCTCGAGGGGTGTCCTCTTCCATCAGAAGCACGACTTCCCCTACTCGAGGTTCTTTCCTTGTGAATGTTTTCTGCTTTATTCTCTTTTGGTGGAAGTTTCGGAGTTCCAGCAAGTAATGGCAGGTCCAAAAGTTCCAGACTGATTGGAGATAGGTAGTGTGTTTTCTGAAGTGCTGAAGGAGGTTTTCCTTGGTTGATGGATAAGGTATATAGTCTTCATCTTTAGAATAGTTCTGTGAATCTCGAAGAAAGTTGATGTTGGCATGGGGAATTATGAAATCGATCGGGCGCAGTAT